AGGCAAATTTTTTTTCTTCTTTATTTGAAAAAAAAAACAGAACAGTACATTAGAATTTACTATTTTATCATTACCATTCACATTACAATTACAATTATCATTACCATTATTATTACCATTACCCTTACCAATACCAATACCATCACGATAACCATTACCGTAATCATTTCCAGTACAATTACTATTAGCTTTACCATTACCTCTACTATTTCCATTGACCATTAACATTACCATTATCTTAACCCTAACCATAACCATTACCGTCATCATTACAATTGCCGCTAGAATTACCATTAAGATTATCAATGCTACTACCACGACGACTACTACTATCACCACTATCACCATCACTTTTAATTTTACCATTTTCATTATTATTACCATTCATAATACAATTACCATTATCATTTCCATTACCATTACCAATACCACTACCATTACCAATACCTTTACCATTACCAATACCTTTACCATTACCAAAACCATTACCACTACCATAAGTCTTACCATTTCCATTACTACTACCAATACTATTACCATAACCATAACCATTACCATGATCATTCTCATTACTATTACCATGACCGTAACCATTAAAATTACTATTGCCATTATCATTACCATTACCAACACCATTACCATTACTATTCCTATTACCATTACCATTACTATTACAATAACCATAACCAAGAACATTAGCATTTACATGTACAAATCGACGGACAAATTTTAGTTAATCAAATACTACGTTCTATTACCTTAAGTGCTCGTAAGACGAGCACAAGCTTTTCAAAAGGTCATCCAATCAACTGAAAAAAAATATGCATTGTGTGTGAATTAAGTACTACGCTTTAGGTGATCTCATACAAATTTTGAAAGCATGCCAATTTCGTTTTCTTTATGAGAAATTATGTGCGTATAAAAGTATGTCTATAGTAGTGAAATGCTATTAATCCATATCTGGTCTGCTTTCCTCAGAATTCAAACATACAATCATACATACTATTTGCATAGCAGATTTCAAATGCTGAATAGCCTTTGTTCCCTTTTCTGATATTTTTATAGACCATTTCATTCTCACTCTGACCGCCTACAATGAATATGCCATGACTTGACTCTCAACAAGTGTCCTCCGTAGCAGACTTACATACATATGTATGTATGTACATATGTATACGCATACGCGTACGCACGCAGTTCAATGTCTTACTTTTTGCTAGCCACTTTTATTTGTGGCTTGGTTGAATAGTTAAATGGTTGAATAACTTGATTTTGTTTATAAGCCGGTAGGTTAGCTGGAATGAAAACTGAGATGGCTTGTCTGTTCATTACGTTTATTATTAAAAGAAGTACATATTTACGTACATATGTATGTATATGTATGCGTATGATTGCATGTGGTTAAACGTAAATTTGCCACATACCATATGTATGTTTTTTTTGTACTTTTCTGATGCTTAAGCCTTTGTTAAGATTATTGCATGAATTTGCTCTTTTTGGCTTTTACTGGTTCTTTGTTTGTTGACAAGCATTCGGTTGTTGTTATTGTCGATGCTGGGAGACTTTTATCCATTTTCTAGCCGGTCTGTTTTTGCAATCTTTGGCTTAGTTTATGGTTGATCTGTTGATTAATTTACGAATGTCTGAGTAGCTGAATATATGCGCATATATTTTGGGACATTTGAGCAACGTTTTTGATTTCACTTAAGTTGTTGTGTGTAACTTTAGGTCGTTCATAAATTTATAACTTTATACTTTTGGTTTTCACTTTTCTTTATGAACGCATGCTTAATTCTTCCCTAGCCTGCTGAAAAAACTTAAAGTACAACAATCCCGCAACACCCAACTCTTGCTTTCTTTGAAGCAGACAACTGAGAGTTGCCTGAAACGTTGTTGGCGTTCAGGTGCGTAGTACATCATACCAGTTGATGAGATAGTCTGCCAATTCTTGCCCCGTGAAAAGCATAAGTGTGCCTTTTTGCTCACGACGCTCCAGCAGTCACAATGGCCGACAGCGCAAAGCACTCGCGTGGTAAGCCTGAGGTCCCAGGTTCAAATCCTGGCGCAGGGAAAATTTTTTTATTTTATATTTTCTATTTTTATTTTATTTTTAATTTTATAAATTTATTTTTTTTTTGCTATTTATTGTGATTTTTAAATTTAATAAAAAAAATATTTTTGTTTAATTTCTTTGTTTTTATAGCACAAGAATTTCTTCCTAAATGTTTTTTTGCAATGCAATTAGATTTTCAAATTAGTTATTTATTTATAAATTGAATAAATTATTTTTACTTACATTCATTTAACTTTAAAAATCTTAACCACCTCCAAGCGGCCTCGAACCTGCGATTTCAGAACCAGAACCAGCAGTCTTCACGTGACGCCACAGTACATTTGTAAGAAAAGCATTAATTGCGTTTTATTTTTGGCTTTGGCAATTCAAAGGCAGATATCGCTGATCGCCTAAGTTCTTCGAAATTGTCGAACTGGTAGGCACATACTAGTTAATGAACTAGTATTTTTTCTAACTGGTTTGGCTTTTCACTGCAGGGTGCTGATACTTGGACCAATTATCATCTATTTCTTTTGCGATGCGTAAGTTCAAATAACGTGAAATGTCCGATTTTACGGTGATGTTGTTATGTGTGCTATTGATATCTATTTTTTGCAGCTAAAATCTGCACGTTCGTTGCCAAGTATGCCACAATATCCTGTAACCCATATTCATTCAATAGCGCGTTAATTGAGGCTTCCCTGTCCGTGCAAATAATGTAATTTCTTTTTGGCAGTAGAAGCGGTGGAAGTTGCGGTATTGTTACAAGAATCGGTTTAAGGGGAATATCAATCTCTTTAGAAAATTCTGCTGGTCCGGAACTAAACAAAAAATGAACACGAAAAGGTCCCAAAATAGTCGCGAACTAGTTCCGAAGTGATTTCGTAAAAGTCTTAAACTCCATGGTCAGCTGATTAAGTCAAGTGAGATTTTGACTAATTTTGGTTATTTTCCTTTCGCTTATTTAATTTTATATCTTTTTATAAAAGTTTAGTAATTTACCTAACCAGCGCTACATAAATCCATATTTCAAACTTCGTACAAAAATTATGAAAATTCATCAAACTTTAACAATTGCCCAACAATTTAATTTTAATTTTAAACTTTTTATTTAAAATTTTTAGACAAATTTTGGGTATGCAGTTTTGAAGCTCATTAAATTTTGGTAGGTTATGTTGCAAATTTCAAGACGCTATAAAACTGCGTTGATGTTTAATTATTTTTTTTGCTGTTGGTGCAAGGTGAATAATTTGAATGTATCTTTTTAAACACGTAGCAACCCTTTTCAAACATTCCAAATGGTCAAACTAAAGATTTCCTAACATTCTTTCGTTTGACTACGGTCTTTTTATATTTCATATACTTTTTGTATTAGTTAATTGAGCTAGGCATTTCAAACAGGTGGCAGCCCTCTTCAAAAGTATTTTCAAGCTTAATCCTTGTTAACACTCCTTCGCCTGACATTGCGATACATATTTTAATTTACTAATGAATTAAGTGGAATTTGATTTTTTAAACATGTGGCAACCCCGCTAAGTACAGTTAAGAAATAAAAGTTTTTCAAACACCCTTCGACTGATACCTATGTTTTAATAATTCATTAAACTTATTAAATAATTTGAATTGAACTTTTTAAACAGGTGGCAGCCCTCTTTCCACTGCTCAAAAATACTCTGGCGTTCAAACTAAATATTTCTTAATACTCCTCGTTTGACATCCATATTTTGATGTTTCATGTAACTTGTTTATAACTAAACCAGATTCGACATTTCAAGCAGGTGGCAACCCTCGTCAAAATATTTTCAAACTACTACTTTCTGAAACTCTTTTCGTTTGGTACCCATATGGTGACGCATATTTTTCTTACCTAATATGATTTTTTAAACATGTGGCAGCCCTCCTATAGCTCAGCTGAGAAACAAAGCCTTTCGAAACCATTTCGGTTGATACCCATTTTGTAATAGAGTACTGGAACTTGGTACGGGGATATATAAAATCAAGACCATACTCGCGGAGCGTTATTGAAGAACGGAGTGGGGGAGGCACCTCCCATACAAACTGAATTTATCATACTGCATACCTGTGGATGAGTACTACGATAATGAAAGAGGTTTAAGAAGGTTGCAAGGTTTGAAAATATTTCGAAGAGCGTTGCCACCTTTTTAAAAATTTTGGATTCAAATTATTTTATAAATTAAATAAATTATTCCAATTTGGTTATCAATACACATGCTTTTAAGAATGCATAATTTCTAAGCTACATGTTAGAGGGTTGATACTTGTTCAAAAATAAAAATTCATTTTCGATTAAAATATGTATCATAATATGGGTGTCAGACGAAAGAGGGTAAAGAATGTTTTAATTTGAAAATATTTTTAAGTGGGTAATCAAATAAAAATGTGAAAATCTCTTATTTTTTGGCTGAGTTTGAAACACATATGTATGTAAATATTTAATTGAAATTAATTGTACCTAATGTAACACGCAGAAATTTCATACACGCAGTGAAGCGGGTGAGGGCGAACTAGGGAAAAATTTTGAATTCTAAAAAAATACTATATCTATGTAACTAAGTGTGTACATTGTATAAAACTGTTACAGAGCTTATCTAATTCTTTGCTACTATTTTCTCTACTCTACTTTCATGTTGCTGCTGCTCATGTTACATTGGCTAACGACCGATTATGTACAAAAAATTATGCAATTGGAATAAACTGCTGTATGCACCTGGTGACTCTCACATTTAACTGGCAATTTTTTTTTTATCCATCATCCAATGACGTTTGGCACCTCAACTCTGTGGATACCAACTCGTTTCACTTCTCCCATTACTGCTGTTTGCATTGATGTTGTTAAAATTGCTTTTGTTGTTGGTGTTTTTACTGTTAACTGGCATGCCTTGGCTGGACTCGCCTTATTGAATTTCACTTGATACATTCGCCATAGAAATGCAAAATCATGAAGAACTGCTCGAGGATATTCGAGATGACACTTCAGTGAACCTTATACCTGAGAAAGGTAAGTGCTTTATATTAAAAAAAAAAAATAAAAATTTACATTAAATATTTACCGTTTTATTTTATGTGTAGAAAATTGTTTAAATGTCGATTCTAAATACTAACGGTCGGCATTCACAATAGCGGCGTTAATGAAATGATTTCTCTCTGACCAAAATCCCGGTTTTCTTTTTTAAACACCTTTAAATGAATAATATTATCAAACCCCTAACTATCCAACATAACCCAAACGAAAGAGGGTTAAGGTTATTCATATACTTTTTCACCACCAGTTATTTCTGAGCCAAGTCACCCTTTTCGCTCTATGGTCAGCAGGTTACGTGGCCTTTGCACATAGGACAGTATCACTAATTCTATCTCTAATTACTATAAAAACGTTTTTTATAATAAGAAATAGTTTTATTTTTTCACAATTTAATTTACTTTTGCACAAACAACTGAAGCTATTTTATTTTATAAACAAACACCTTTGGCATTGTTTTTTTATTCCAAGCGCCTCATTGTAAATCCATGACATTTTGAACTTCCTTGATATTATTGGCCTCCATTTGCATATTTCTTTTGCATATCGGCGGCATATCCCGAAAGAGACACACACATACATACCTATAAAAAGTGCACTTTTTCCGATCTCAACGCCATTAGCCGCAGCACTGCGGTCACATTCTATGATCCCTAACCACAATTTTCATAAATTTAACTCCTTACGTTTTAGCGGTGCTGATATCTCCATACCGTGTGACATTTTCCAATGCCTGCCACATACAAAAACCGCCATTTTCGCTAATACTCCTACATAATTTTAATTTNTGTTGCGTGGTGTAATGTAGCCGAGAAGGAGACGAAAGCACAATGGCGTAGCTTGTGTGTGTGTGTGTGTGGCATGCAACATCACAGCAACGCGCCGTCTTGCTGGTTCACAAAGCCGCAATACCGAGGAAACCGAGCTGACAGGTGAATCTGCGGGTTGGTTTAGCGTTGCCAGACAGGCAATGAGACAGCTAAAGTGGCTTAATTTAGGACAGTGTGTATCCCTGTGTATGTGTGTGTGTGTGTGTGTGTGTGGCTAGGTGCCAGTGCTTTGTGGAAGTATGCAATGAGATAGCGATATTATGTAGCAGATTATCTTGTGCATTTATCGTGGACATATGAATATATATGTATATTAGGGTGGCTCTTAAAAATTAAATGAACGATTTTTTTTTTCAGTCTCACCCCCAAATGGAAATACTATGGTCACATATAAATTTTGGTCCCGATTGGGGACGGTTAAGGCGTGTCGCACAGGGGGCATAGCATAGCATAGATTCCTCTATAGAGACTCAAAAATTTAAATATATTTTTTTTCATTTCATACCCAAAATCGATACTAATAAAGTAGAGTAAAGTGGGTACTACGTCTTCATTGGGTAATCTGAAATTTGACCCCTGTCTGACACGCCTTAACCGACCCCAATCGGGACCGAGATTTTTATGAGATATCTTCGACTACAGTAGCACTGGCGTAGGGGTTGAGGCTTTGAAAATCTGATGTAAAGATATGCTTCCTACATTTAGGACAACCCTAATGCATATACATTTCAAATGCTTGCACGTGTACATGGATGATCCCCCATTAATACAAAAACAAGTAAATGTATTCAAATATCCAGGTCGACCATTTCTTATTTGAGTGGTTTTTAATATTTTTACTCTTCATCTCCCATACGCCAACATATTAGTGTTATTGTGTATTAGGATGAAAGAACCTTCCGAGAGCTAAATTTGACAGATTTATGTGGACAAGGTGATTCGACAATTTCTATATATATATATATATTTTTTTTTTTTTAACAATCGAATTTCGACAGTAACTGGCACTCATAGTTTTTGTAAATCGTTTGCAATACTTTTACACGTTGTTGGAGGGTTCTTATCTAACTCCACTTGCCTGAAATTATTTAGTGCCATCCTAGTAGTGAAAGCACACATATTTACATATATATATATGTATAAATATGCCTTTAGTGTGGCATCAACTCAAAGAAGTATATTGTCACAATAAAAATAATAAATAAATAGTCATAAAGTATGAAGGCGGCAGCATGAATAAATCCTATTATCCTATTAATATTATAAACCTGAAAGTTTGTGAGTGAGCGAGTCTGTTTGTTTGTAGCTCTTTCACGCTAAAACAGCTAGACGTATTTGAATAAAATTTGGCCTATGCCTAGATTAACAGAGAGGATTTTATTTGAAGAGGGTTGCCACTTTTTCAAATGTTAATATAAACTATTTTTTAAGTAAAACAAAATATTACAGCAATAAGTTTGTCAAACAAAATCGTTTCAAAACCGATTTATTGCAATAAATTTTTCCGAAGAGAGTTACCACATTTTGAAAAACTTAAAATCAATTTAATAAACAATGTAAATCAAATAAATATTTGGTATGGGTACTAAATCAAGGTTTAAGGCAAATTCATCTCTAATTTTTTTTGGAAGAGAGTTGCCATCTATTAAGAAATTCAAAATGAATTTACTTAAAAGGTTGCACGAAAAGTCTTAATATGGGTATCAAACGAGAGAGGGTTAAGAAGTTGTTTCTTTTGAAAATAGTCTTTGAGAATAGTTTGTTGATTTTTCTTTATGTAAAATTTGGCATAAAGATAGCTTATGATCTGGATAAGTATTTAGATCTCTGTGAGTGAGTGCGAACGTTTGTTGTTCTTTCACGCTAAAACGGCAGAACGTATTTCACTAAAATTTAGTACACAGGTAGTTTATATACTTCATTAACGTATATCGTATTTTTTTAAGAGAATTTCCGCATGTTCAAAAGTTAAACTTAATTAATTAATAAGTTAAATAGAATGTTAAAATAATGCGGGTGTCAAAGAAAAGAGGTTCAAAAAAAATTTATTTCGAAAATACTTTTCGAGGGTGGTGCCAGATGTTTATAAAGTTAAAATCTATTAATTCATGTTAAAAAAGTATCGCAACCAGGTGGACGTCAAACTAAGGAGGTTAAAAGTTATTTCTTTCGAAAATAATTTTGCCACCTGTTTAAAAATGCTAAAGTCAATTCCACTATGAAGTTTCACTAAAAATATTTTTAAATGAGTATCAAAAGAGGAAGGTTTAAGAAATATTTATTTCGAAAATGTTTCTAAAGGGCGGTGCCACCTGTTCAGAAATTCAAAATTTATTTAGTTAACAAGTTAAATAAAATATTTCAAATTTGGTATCAAGCGCGAGAGGTGTTCATAGATACGAAAGCCGTATCTATTTGGAGAACATTTTTGACTAGGTTGGCCATCTGTTTTGGAATTAAATTGAGAAGTTAAACGAAATCCAACGAATATTATAAAGGTGAAAGTTTTTGAGTGAATGTGAGGGTACATACAGATAGCATTAATATTTAAAAATGTAAATAAATTTAATAAGTTAACGCAATGAAATGTTGCAATATCGATGTCAAATGAAACAGGTTGAAAAAAACTTTTGTAGGAAAATAGTTTTGAAGAGGGTTTCACATGTTTGAAAATTAATTTGAAGTGAGCATTTGTAAAACGGAGTATCTTTCGTCTTTACGGAAAGGATAAATGAAATGTGCCTATGAGATATTTATATATAACAGAGGGTGCTGGCATTTTTATTCAGAAAAGAAGATTTTTTTTAAAAGAAAAGTAACCAATATAAATAATTAAAAAAAACTATACGTCGTGCATATGTGCTACGAAAAGTAAGTCGTTTTTTATACTGAAATGGCCAATTCCACTGAAATTCGACGCACCTAAAAAAAAAACTAATTTACTAATTTTTTGGTGATTTTTTTTTATTTATTTTTTTTATTTTTTTTTTTATAGATTTGAGGTCATAACGTTAAACCGAATTTAACGTAGGCGAAGCTGCGGGTAAAAACTAGTAAAATAATATCTGTACGTGCGTGAGTTATTGAAAATAGTATGTGAGATGCAAAAGAATGAAATTTTATAGCAACATTTTTTATAGTTCTAAAAGTCCAAATATAATCGATTTGTTTTCGGGCAACCTTCATAAAAAAAACTGGACAGTAGCTATTCGGTCATCAAATATTTTATAAGAAATTAAAAATTTCGCATTGTCATGCGTTATCAGTCTTTAGTGAGTGTAATTCTATTTTATTTTATCTATCTAAAAATCCACCAGTTATAGTCCATTCAATACAACTCAATTGTTGGTACGCCCGGTCGTATGAGCAACATTAAGCGCAAGTCTCACATACAACCCTACTCGCTCTGATGCTAAGTATGCGTAACATTTCTAATTTATTATTGTTGTAATTGCGTAAATTATTTGTCAGTCAAGTGTATGAATGTATTTAAAAACAAATTTACTCGCCTGTATGTATATAAGTATAAGTATAGTGTGACGATAACAGTAAAGTGCAGGTAACTAGATACCTAAGTATCAGCAAGCTGATGCCCACTGCATTCACTTTGATTAACAGTCAACTACTTGTGTGCAAATTCATGAACATACACGTATGTATGTACATACTACATTACGAACTTAAGTACCTTCGAGCTTACGCGACCACATTTCGCTCATGTGACACCGCACATGCGGCAGGTGCACTTACTTAAATGGACGTGAGGGCAATGGATGTGTTGCAACTGAAATAAAGTGACGAGAATAGTAGTTTAGTAGATAACATAAAAACTTACTTAGAAAATTTAAAGATGGAGGAAAAAAGGCATTGTGGTAGCATATAAATTGGCAAGATATACACAGGGACTAAAACGCATTTGCTGATTCCAATTACATAGATTTCCAAAGAACTTTTTCATAAGCTTGCTAGAAAGGCATTGAAATTTATAATGATATTTTCATCGCTTAGTCATAATTTTTATATTTTGTATTGGCTATCACTTATGAAGTATTGTTGATTTTTGTGCAATTTTTCGGATGCTGAAATTCCTTAATTCCTTAGAATGAACATGCAATTGTGGTCCAGCACCCTCGCGTTCTCTGCCTTAAT